CTTCTGACATGCAACAACAACAAAACCACCAACAAAAGCTTTATTTTCATGACCATAAAGGTATTATAGTATTGCAAAAGCTACTAGTCTAAATTTAATTACTAATTCAACTAATTATTGTAAAACATTACATCTGAGAATAGGCCTTACAATCTAGTAAGAAATGTTTTGTAACTGTTACAAAAGGAACATATCGTTTCATTGCGAGAGATTTTTTTGTGTCTACCCGTTTCAATTCTAAGTTGATGACTACTTATCCTAATTTTGAGTAATGCTTTTCTTGAGGGGTTTTTTCTTGTTAAAACTAGGTACGCCGAGGGGCAGTAGTCCTTTTTGATTGACAATAAACTGAAACTGTGTTTTGGTGATTATTGAGGGGTCTGGTTCCAGTAAGAAACGTATTTATTTTTTATTACACCGACATACCATTTAACTTTAGAGTCATTCAATGAATTATAGAAGAAAAGTCACAGTTTAGATAGTAGTAGTCAACCATCTTCATGGGATTAGAGTAAAAGCTATTTTATCCTCTATAATGAAGGTCAATTGAAATTTGTAAGGCTTGTTTAACTACAGAATATTCATCTTTATCTTTCAAATAGGTTAAGTAATTTAGAATCTTTTCATGTATATCACTGATCTTGGGGAATTTACCGAGTACAGCTCTACGCGCAATGTTGGATTTATCTTTCAAATAAATATCTGGGGGAAATCGTGTTCAGTTGATTAATTACCCCCTAACGGGTTGTTGGCCACTATTTTCTCAGGAATCGTTTGCTATACATGAAAGAACGGGAAACGAGGGCTGCACCCCGAGAACAGAAAAGAGCATCTCCCGTCGAGCGCCTTTAGGTATGCGCGTGGTCATTTTCGTGTCTCTAGCGTTTCGCTCGACAAACTTAGAAAAAAGAGAGACTGCTGGTACTGCTGCTGCGTAGTTTTCCTCTATTTCTCCCGCTTCCTGCCTTTTAAGATCTCCTATCCCAGGCTGTTTTCTCTGCTATTTGGGGCAGCCTTCGATGCGTGGCAACTTGATTAAAGTTTTAGCAACTCATGGGAATAACAAAGTCTTCTAATACTGTTTAAACCTCGTCGTGTGGAGTCAACCCTGTCTCCCCCTACCCCCGTCAGATGAATTATCCTTGGTAAGGAGCCCATGCTGCGGTCTGGTCTGAGGTCAATGATTTCCAAATAAGACCACGCTTTCAAAAATTCCAACTCCGACTTTACTGCCTCGAATGAAACGACCCTATCAGAACAGGAGAATGCACGTGCACAATGAAAACTAAAGAGAAAAACGAGCTTCAATGATGTTAGACGGTTTTCGTCTCACAAAGTTCAGTGTGATCGTTCTGTTTTAATTTGTAGAATAACAAGAGAAAGACATTGTTATATGGAAAGCTTAAATTTTTCAGTGACCCTTTGACTTGAGTAAAAAGATATAGTGATCTAATTGTGTCGGAAAAAAATTCCACTACACAGTCGCTGTGCATTTAAACGCCACCCACCGTAGATGAGTTGAATAAAAAAAGCAGCTAAGAAAACCGTGAATAGTTTTTAAATTGTGTTTTTTAACATCGTGCAGTTGCTCTTTCTCAAAACTACCCTCTGTTGTTGTTCAGAGATCGTTCTATTCAACGTATATTATAAAATAATAAACTATTAATGTAAATTGCAAAGACTCATAAATCATCATGATTTCTAAATTGATAGGAAAACATTACATCCCAACCGATAATTTGTCTATCCACAACGACCACAATCAATATTGGGCACTAGGCAGTTGCTATCAGATCTAAGCTAGATCTAGGTTTTAGATGTAATGAAACATTAATCTGTTACTGAGCCTCTTCATTAATAGATTTTCTTTCAAATTCTTTGTGTTTTTTGCAGGACTGTGTTTTCACCAAAAACTTTTCTGATACTGCCCTTCATGTTTACTGGACGGGTGCACTAAGGATTGCCAGCTGCAATTCCTGCTGCAAACGTTGGTACTTTACTTTCAATGGCTCTGAGTGTTCTGCTCCTCTGCCCATTGACGGAGTTGTCTACATGGCGACAGGCGGTAATAAAAATCTCCTTCGCGTCCGCCATATTTAGGGGCACTGTAATAACATCCATAAAGGAAAGGTGCGCGTGGGATTCTGGATCGGCAACTGCGCTTCATATGGAAATGCTGATGGCCACACAGGATGGAATTCAGTGTCCCGTATATTTGTTGAAGAAGTTCCTAAAGCTCAAGCTTAAAAGTGACTTTAGATGAAAGTCACTCATGAGATCATGAGTTATTATGAGCTCTTATACTACAAAAAGTAAAAATAGATAAAAGACTTTGAAAGAGAGTGAGTGATTTCGACCCCTACGTAGGTGGGTAGTCTGTTGATGACTTTTATGATAACTTTAGACATCAGTGCTTCAGATTGTGAAAAACTATAACTCACTTTCCGGGATTTCAGCACGATCTGTTAACATATGATTAAGACGTTTATTAAAGTGTATAACTAAAAAGAAGCGTTTGCTGTTTGAGCTTATTTAATTACTTCTCATTCAAAGCAATTCTTGTTAAGGTTTGATAATAGAGATTTTTACCTGACCTGAAACTATATAATCAAACCTCAGTATTCCTCGCCAGTAGACCAAAGGCAGAGAATTAACTTAGGTTGCTTTCGAAGTTTGAGGGAACTCTCATAGGTTTAGTGATCGCGGAGGGAACATTTTATCATGTTTACTCTTGTGATAGCTAAGGACAGCTAATTGTATTCCAGAGACTCTTGGTCAAAAGCTCCCCATTTCAGTACCATTTAGCAACCGAGAAGTGCTCGCTAATAAGTCGTCGTTTCTTCTTTTCGATCCAACTTTCACGCCAAGCTTCTGTTCTCATTTTTCTTACGCGGACAGCTCTTTGATCCATTCACTAGATAACCATGTTTTTTCCCTCTTGACTCAGGTGATTGTACCAGTTATACAACGACACAATTTGTCCACCCCCGCAGAGACGTCGGCTGGCCATACCTGTTTAACACCTGCTGTGCTTGTCCTTAAGCTCTGGATCATAATAATAATAATGATAATTAATAATAATCAAAGAAGTGAACAGAACAATATTCCTATCAATTATTTATTTTTGAAGTGACTGAGCCCTTGTTCAGACGTCATACTTCATATGAGTCGGATCAATTCCAAAAAAAGGCCTGTTTACTCAAAGGTGGGGGTCCCCAGGTAGGTGAGGTAATTCGCATAGGTGGGGTAACCTTCCTGTCCAAATAATCTCTCATTTTAATTTGGTCACGTTTACTTAATAGGTGGGGTGACCGTAGAAGAGATTATATGGACATGCGGGGTTCCCCACCTAAGTGGGATACCTCATCTACCTGCAATCCTCGTCACACTTAGCTGGGACACCCCTTGCTGTACTCATATTTCTAACAAAAAGTTGTGCTCCTCCCCCCACCCCCCTCGTGTTGATTTTTTTGCTTCTGACATGAAAACTCGCAAAAACCATTGGGGGG